ACTTTATAATAGGGTGTTTGCACCCCGGTCGTAGCCCGACCGAATTCTTGTGTTTTATTTAACACTTCATTTTTCAAACTCTCAATCCCAAATTCTAATCTTACCTTGTCGGGATTTATTCCCAACATCAACGTCGAAGAAACATTTTCGAACCCTAATGTGGAGAAAACGTATTATAAACCCTAAGAAAATGTACACAGTATATCACCTCAACTCATCAGTGAACGTTACCAGCCCGGTCTACATAAGTAAACTTTTAAAAAGTTGTTTTCCAAAATTTTTGTAATTGTCTTTAAATAAATGAGAAAGTTGTCGAGAGGCACTATAATGCCTTTCGCTTGCTCAATATACCACTTCCTGAAGTTTTGATATTATTTTTTGTCCTATATGTACAGGTGTTGGTTCTGATCCAGGAGATTGAAAATGGATGTCATCGAGAAGCGGACGAATTACATGACATATCAGATGACTCGAACCCGTCTCAAATAGATCAATCGCGAATCAATATAAGCAACTCACGACTTTTGATTGTAAAATCATATGAAAAAAAGGTAAAATTACTTTACACGACAGAGAAGAAAGGAGAAATCCTCTGGGCATCAGTCAATATAGTCTCCTAAACCCCCAGGGCCGGAAATCTTTTCCCCAGCTTCACAGAATCGATGAACCCTTGGAATGAAATCTGGGGCACTGCGAGGTTAATCCCCGTCTTTTGCGCGTTACGCATATAAACCGACCTTAAACATCTCTCTGCCTTTGCAGCATTATCGCATTTCGCAAGCAAATTCCTCGTCAGGTTTAGCAGGGAGATGGACATGCATCCATCAAAATCAACTCAAGCGAGTCAAATTATTCCCTGCTTGCGCTAAACGAAGTCCGCGTTTAATTCAAATTCATCACCCACAAAAGCGCATCTTTCTTATACGATGTGAAGTCGTCATAGAAAAATCATTTAACCTGACATGCAGATTTTGTTTTACTATATGAAGAACTGGAAATCTCGATCGGTTTTTTAGGGCTTCTTGATGAGAAATTGGGATAGGATAGTCATTTTATGATGGAAGCGGGCAAATGAGGAGATTCTCCAGCGGTATTGGGATTCCTGATGTGACGCGGGTGAATAAATATGCAAGGTTCGAAAGAAAATGGAGAAAAAACCTGTATCCTTGAAGAAACTACTGTAAAGATGAGAGGAAAGAGTCCTCCTGACTGATGTATGACATGCTCATATAAACGAGTGTTGTCCCACAAACTCTAGGTATCTTTTTCATTACCAAGTACTCGACCTATACTACGGAGAATATAAAGGAGAAAAAGGCAAGAACATGTGTATTGTATGAGTATACATGGAATGAAGTGTTTCTACAGTGACGCATGCCCTTGATTGCCACCGCAGGGGTGTTGCTTATTTTACAGGGTGGGGTCGACAATTGTAGAAAACCTTTACATGAACAGGAGTGATCTCTTCCAAAGTCTTGGAGCTACTGCAGAATTCGAGCACTTTAATTAAATAATTCCCAGCAAGGTACGACAGTACCATGTTTACTTGAATATTATACGCCATTTATTGCACAATATGCACCATCATTTTTGAGCTGCAAGGTTAGGTGAAAAGAAGTATCTCCTCATCAGTGAAAAATGTTTAAAACAAAGGATTAGAACAGCTAAAATTATTTATTAATATTTAGAAAAAGGAGATTTAAATTGCATTATCATGAGGCGTCTTTTTTATAATTTAAGTTTGATATTATCTGAATATAACGTGCGCACAAGTTTTTGAAAATTCGAAGGAAAAGTTTTAATTACTGGATTTGAATTCTAATGAAATTTCAATTCTGCACAAGATGCCCAGTTTGAGATGCATCGAATTTTAAAATGAGGCGACATCTCCCCCCCCCCCCACCCCAAATCATTTGGCGACTTGGATGAGTTGAGTAAGTCAATCCATTATTTCCTGTAAAAAAAAAAAAGTAGCAGGAAGAAGATACTGTAAATATGATCTGCTTTTAGGAAGGATGGAAGTTGAACTTGACATTGTTAATTTCCCAGCATCATAACTATTGATTCAATCGAGGATTGAAACTCGTGTGAAAAAATGTTCGAGAAAATCAAATAAATGCGAAATTTTTTCTTTGATGATTCTTAATTTTCAAATGGTTCGCCTACCAGCAGTGCATAAAAACTATACAAGATCAGAAAAAGCGATTGAATAATTTATAATTAGCTTATTTTAGCTTGATGGTTGGAGCCTTTCACAAAATATTTCTTCTGAAAACAGCGTACTTATTGTTTTTCTGGTCCACCGTGTATATATATGAAAAAAAATGGTGTTCTGTGCCATTCATTGTAATTTGGCACGGATTTTCTGTGTTTTTTAAAGATTATTTTCAGCATGCGGGGAAATATGCGGAATCCAAAAGCAAACTCTTGTACCTGAGTGGCATCAATGTTGGATGACGAAGTTGCTGCGTCATGTCTTTTAAAATTGAAATTGTCCCACCACAGGCGTATTCAGTCAAATGCCACTGGATTTAAAATTGTCATCATATATACGGTACTCTTGTTGAATTGAACTATGTAATGTACTAAACTAAAGGAAAAGAAAACAATGTCCAAATAATTCAAGATGCGTTGCTAGAATTATGGAAAAGAAATCGTTCGACTTTAGGTGTAACGAAATAAAAATAATCGCACCTTTTTCAATGAGACGAAATAACGCAAACGAAATTCATTTCAGAAATTCCGAGAAATTTCTTGCTGAATCAAATGACATCAATATTAAAAATCCACATCAAATATTTCAATACAAACGGGAATTAATAATTTTGAACTCAATCCAATGCCAACCCAGTTCTCTCGTTTTACGTCACAAAGACTTAAAAAGCTCTCGTATCTAAACAATTTTGACATCATTTGCACGATATGATCGTAAATTCCATCAAAATATTTACAAGTCCGCTATTCAATTTCATTGAATCCAGAGATCGTAACTGGGATTTCTTGAAGAAGAAAAAACACTTTTGAAAGAGAAATATCAAGCGCGAGTCAAACCCGTGCAAAACTTTGATTCCAACATTCTTCACAGAAACGCGTAGCTTTCAAACGTCTTCTCTCACGCTAAACATGCATTCTGTTTGGAATTGAGCTTTACTAAATGAAAACTTGTTGCTAGAGAACAGACCGTTTATTACTGAGAAAACGTTTGTGCAAAGTCAACCACTTTTTACTCAGCTGCTTTGTCCCGCTGCCAGAAGAAGGCAAGTCGACTCGTAGGCTGTAGTACGCTTTCATCTCGAGCAAAGAGCTAGAAGCTCCGATTTGATTTTCTCCAACTGCAAACGTGGACCTTGCTTGGAACCTGAAATGAAAACATGCATTATTGTTTTGGAAGAATTTAACGAAGAAAACAAAACTACAGACTCAATGTGACAATCGGCCCAAGAGACTACGACTGCGCTGGGAACTTTGGAAATCAAAGTTTTAAAACTATACAGTTGGACCTACCTAAGATGAAGTCAGACCAGAGACCATAAAATCTTGAAAAGATAAGTTTTTGAGATGGAGAAACGGATATTTCTGGCGAAAAATATGCTGGAAGAACTGTATTACCGGAAGATTTCTTGATAATTTTTGGATCCTCGATCAGGGAATACGTTTAAATTTTTTGCATAAAATTGTATAGGTCCCAGAGGGCATAGGGTTCTCTATCCAGAGAGAATTTTCTTGATGACTCATCTCTCTATGACTACTTTCAGGGGAGCAGAAGAAATTGTTGTAGAGATAATTTTGTCGCAGAGAGAGTCCATAATGTACTTTTTTTAATTGAACCACATACCTTAAATTTAACTGGCTTTCAAAAAATAGTTACCTAAATTTAAACCTGTTGAAATATAACAAACTAATCTGAATAAATAATGATAAATTTAATTGTTGCAATTTAGGTCTAAATTCAACATCTTTTTACTCTTGCAATATTAAAAAATGTCATGCTCTCAAAATCATCTTAGTTGAAGAACCATTATCTCCAAATAATTTTAGGTTTAAAAAGTGAAGTGTGCATGCTTTATTTGAGGGCACCTGGTACTATGAATAAATAAAATATTTACATTTTATTATTTCATACTTATTTCAAAACTGCTTTATTCAATAATGCATTATGATCCAAGTCTGCCAAGATCTTCGATTTAATCTATATCAGTGTTCCCTATATAACCTTTTTGGGACCACGGACCGGCAAATTTTCCAAAAAATTTCGGGAAACAGTAAATAAAAAAATATTCTGCAGACCGGCCAAGTTTCATCAATTTTTGCAGACTCAAAAACATTTTGCATGAAAGAGTTTATGGTATGTATTTAAAAAGTTCCTGCTTTTTGTAAAACATGTTAAACATATATAGGTAAATGTCTTCCAAAAATTAGAAAGGTGGACTTTGAGAAAGCTTTGTCAGGATTAAAAATTTTAAAGTAAATTATTTCACCATGCAAACATTTTTCTGAAGTGTTACTCGGGAGAGAAGCCAACTTTTATTTTTTCATCAAATAATTTCAACTCTGCAATTGTCTTTGCAACATTTTTGATAAAGATAACAGACTTCATTACTATACATTTGATAAATTAATTATGTTTCAGAATTTTTGCGTCCCCTGGACTGGCAAAAATCTTCTGTGGACCGGCGCCGGTCCGCGGACCACGGGGCGGGGAACAATAATCTATAATTCTATATCATACCCAAATAAATCTCCCATTGCTGGATTTCTCTTCTCTCCCATGTACACATGCATTTCTCTGCACATTCAGCCTGAATATCTGCGCTACTAAATAAATGCCCATTGCTATCCCTACAAAAAAACAGCTCAAATAAAAAAGAGCCTCTCCTAAAGTCCGGCTTCGACTTTTCCTCGAGTCGGCAACGTCGTGTCTACCCTGTGCTGTTAGTTGCCTTGGCCTTTTAAAGCAATAGGGAACAAATGGATATCTGAGCAAACGAAGGCCAGAGAAGGTGCAGCATCGGTCCCCTGGCTCGACCCGGCACCGGAAGCATGGGTGAGGACACTGAGCATTGCTGCTGCTGCTGCTGTTGGGGCTGGGGTCGGGACAAGAGTGACCAGTCGACCACAAGGTCAGGGTCGTCGCCCTCGCTTTTTGCGGGGCGGTGGCGGCCGCGGGAATTGCCGCTTCCGAGGCGGCGGTTGTTGTAGTGAGATCGGCGGTGGTGGTGAGAGGCGTCACGATGAGTGGAGAAGTTCGGGGAGAGACCGGAACGGAAACGACGGTGTCGATCACTGCGATGAATGCCTTCTTTGGCGTATGCAACTGTCGGAAATGTCCTTCACAGCATAAGAAAAAAAAAACGGGAAAGAGAGAAAAGACATGCGTTTTTCAAGCGTGGAAAGCTTTCTTGGCACTCAGCAGGAACGTATTCCAATTTACCGAAGGACGAAATATGTACATTCGAAAGGATGGAAAATATACGTTGGGGGCCAAAGATAAATACAGCGCAATATCAGATTTTTCAAGCTTGAGCTGTTGCGTTTTGCGTCATAAAATAATACCATTCAATCCAAATTAATTAAAACATTATGTAATGATCTCAAAGATAAACTTTTTTGCGTTTTTCGCGTGACAATCACGCAACGAAAAAAAAAGAAACCTCTGGCAAAGAAGAATGTAAGTAACTTTTTAAAATAAAAACGAAACCTTTTCTAGGCGCTATTTTCAGTATAGAAGTTTTCTAACTCCCCAAAACAGAACCTTGAAATGAACAAAATCGTTCTTATTTTACCTCACATAGTTTTCTTCACCTGACGTAAAAATCCCTACTTTAAATGCTCTGTCAAACTCGACAATACAGCTCTTTTAGGCGATTTAAGTATCGGTAAAGTACTAAAACCGGCATTGAAGCATAAAAAACGTAAGTTGCGAATACACTTTTTTTGTTACAGGGTACTTGAGAACACACAGAGAGAAACCATTTTATTTCGAAGAAATCTGCATATAGAAGCTGAACAGAGTACAGTACAACGAAATAAACTTAGATTTCGTTAAGATAAATACGCCATCGAGAACAAAGGATCGAACAGAACTCAATTTGCACAACAATGACCCGATCGTCATCGAATGACGACTGAGCGATCGACATGAAACATTGAGATCAAATATCTTTACAATGGCGTCCCGGAGGATAAACCCGACGAAAAACTACTGCATAATATTAGATATTAACAAAATCCCCCAGGCAAGGGCACCGTTAGCCTGGGGAATGTTACTACTTACCTTACCAAATTCCCTTCACTGCGAATTGAACCACTTCCCCCGTAAGGATCCCCCCAGCCTCAGATTTTTAGCGGGCTATAACGGAACTTTGTATCTGTCCCTTTTTAAGGGTGGGCTGGGAGTTGTTTTTTGGGTCAGTGAAGGGAATTTGGTAAGGTAAGTAGTAACATTCCCCAGGCTAACGGTGCCCTTGCCTGGGGGATTNTTTACCGAAGGACGAAATATGTACATTCGAAAGGATGGAAAATATACGTTGGGGGCCAAAGATAAATACAGCGCAATATCAGATTTTTCAAGCTTGAGCTGTTGCGTTTTGCGTCATAAAATAATACCATTCAATCCAAATTAATTAAAACATTATGTAATGATCTCAAAGATAAACTTTTTTGCGTTTTTCGCGTGACAATCACGCAACGAAAAAAAAAGAAACCTCTGGCAAAGAAGAATGTAAGTAACTTTTTAAAATAAAAACGAAACCTTTTCTAGGCGCTATTTTCAGTATAGAAGTTTTCTAACTCCCCAAAACAGAACCTTGAAATGAACTTTTAGCAAGAATAAAATGGAGTGTATCAAAAGAAGTGGACTGCATTTTTAGGGATGAAATTTACGAGACAGTTTGAGCTGTTATGTCGAGAAAATCCGCTAAATTCATAGCCATTTCATGATTTTGTGGCATTGAAGCATAAAAAACGTAAGTTGCGAATACACTTTTTTTGTTACAGGGTACTTGAGAACACATAGAGAGAAACCATTTTATTTCGAAGAAATCTGCATATAGAAGCTGAACAGAGTACAGTACAACGAAATAAACTTAGATTTCGTTAAGATAAATACGCCATCGAGAACAAAGGATCCAACAGAACTCAATTTGCACAACAATGACCCGATCGTCATCGAATGACGACTGAGCGATCAACATGAAACATTGAGATCAAATATCTTTACAATGGCGTCCCGGAGGATAAACCCTACGAAAAACTACTGCATAATATTAGATATTAACACTTCACACAGGTTTGTAGGAAATTCCAGAATCTGATAAAAGAATCAAATTTAACCTTCGCATGAATCGAAAGAAACTGTGATTAAGTACAGATGGATAGTACAACGAGAACAGATAAAATCCCGGGATACAATTTGCACAATAAGTTACACTGACCCGATTGTCACCGAAAAACCTCAATAGAAGAAGAATGAGAACAATAATTACCTTTGAAGCAGAATCCCGGAAAATAAACCCAATTAAAGAAAAACTGATTACGGATGCAACAAAAACATTCAAAAAAACCCCATGCAGACTGACTGCTGAAAAAATATCGTATATGCAGCCCCTTTCATCGTTTGAAAAAAAATCAAATTGTTACAGGACAGACAAGTATGCTAACGAAGACCGAGAATCCAATTTGCTCAAAACGTTGCCCGATAACATCGATTGTAACCCAATGACAGCTCAATCCTGCAAATGAGACCGAGTACTGCACAATTGTACATTGCCTACCTTGGCAGGAGTATGTTCGAAAAGAAACCCCGATTCTCAACTAATTTCAAATTTAAATATACAGCACTGTATATAAAAACACGCAGAAAGAAATCATCAGACTTGGGGAGAAATTCTTACGCAATCCTCTCGCTGAAATCGCAGTGAACTTCGATTTAGCACAGATAAATACGCTAACGGGGTCAGAGGCCACAGCACACAACCCAGAATTTGCACAACGCTGACTCCATATGCAGTCACCCGATGATGAGGCAACCCAAAATCACAGCCAGTCCCCAAATAAAGAAACTCGCATAACGAAAAAACCTCATTTTGAATTGTTTTTGGGGGAAAACGTAAAACATAACGAAATTGTTGCATTCAAAGAAATTTTTCGGATGGAAAACGCTCGAATTTTGGCTGAAACTTCGGAATATTTTGAAATAATGGACGAAAATTGTAGAAAAGGGTATATAGTTTTGTTCTTTTTTCAATTTTTGGATTTCAGCAAGATGTGTGATTACTCGAGTACCACGCGCATCTTTTTTTATTCAAAAAACTTGAAGAAAAATTGATGTGCGCGTCAAAATCAGGGAAAAGTTTTAAAATGACATTTTTTGAAAATTGGAAACTTTTCTCCTTACATTGAGCGATTTTTTAGGCTTCTCTATTTTAATATTACTGATCACTGGAATGAACAAAAAAATCTCCATTGCATTTGGTTTTTTAGGGGCTTGCATTTCTATTTTTACGCAACACAGCTTTTCAAATATAGGAATCTTGGTAATTGAAAACTAAGGTGCGCGTCTTCTGAAGGGATAAAAATGCTGTCAACTTCTTCGCAAAAAAACTAATTAGTCGTTAAATTTACAAATGTATGCCGGAAAATGTGAATAATATGCAGTTATTCATTTTTAGAGAGTTTCTGGAACGAGTTACCTTACTTGTGATATATGTAACCTCGAGGGTAATTGTACTTCGCAGTAAGAAAATTCCACATAATAACGAAACAATGCATCATTTAAGCAAAAAAAAAAAGCAGTAGCGAATAACATTAAGAAGAAATAGAAATAAAAATAATTAATATTCCAAATTAATTTTTTTTCTTTTAATTTGAAACTTTCTCATGCTACTGCTGTTTCTAAAATTATTTAAAGACTCTGTATTACTTTTGATATTCGTGGACCCACTTGTACTGCACTGTACAGTAAATTATTATCGAGACCAATGATAAGTGCGGTAATATTCCCGTACCTTTGCAGAAGCGTCCTCGACGAGAAGCCAGACGAAGACGACGAGTTGCGCTTCCCCAGCATCGTCGCGGGCTTGTTATTGTTAGCACTCATCGGGATCATCGTTTGCTGCTGCTTCTTCTCTTGCTGATGCTGATGATGACGCAGCTGATGCAACTTCTCAGACGGGCCTGTGGCTGTTAGCAAGGAGCGTTTCGTTTGCTGAGCTGGGTTATTGCCCTTGGTGTTATTGGTCGAAGAGACGTTGCTGCGCTTGTTGCCCGACGACCGAGAGGAACATTGTTGCCAGCAGTCGACGACGCCGAGGGCCTCGGCCGACGCGCAGGAACGCTTCCGACGCGGCTGCTCGCATTCCGCGTCCATCCCTTTAAATGCGTGCGTGCGTGCGTGAGTGAGTGAGTGAGTGAGTGAGTGAGTGAGGGGAAGAAACGGGATCAATTTCGCGTTCCTCGATGACGAATCAACCGTATTTACTCGAAAATACTGTACAAGACAAGACAATGTTCAAAAAGAATAAGGAACTATATATAGAGAACTCTTCATATGTACTCGCAGGCAAAATTGCTTCGATGCTCTAGGCACGAAGGACAGCAGGCAGCAAATCTCATGATCAAAATGAGCAGTGATTTTTCTTTTCCATAAAAAAAATATCAGATAACAAACGTGGATGCGTTTCACCTGCAATAATCTTGAACGTCTTCGAATAAAAAAAGAGCTAATTTTCCAAACAAAAGAAAAAATCGCCAAAAAAGAGATGCACTCCTCTTAAAAAATATGTAAAAATTGAGACGCAATTTTTCCACGGGAATCCTTTTAAAAAAGGTGTCAAGTAACGTATTCGGAGTCTTTTTAGTTCTTCTATATAGGCACGAGGAACATCAGGCACACCTCATGATCAATGCAAGAAATATGTTTTCCACAAAAAATTGGAAAAAAGGGGATGCAATTCGCCCGCAAATATCAAACACATTCGAATAAAAAACGCTCATTTTTCAAAAATTGCTACAAGGAAATGAAAAAATTTGAGACGCAATTTTTCCACGAGAATCCTTCGTGTAAATTCGTCACGTTACGTAGTTTCAAGTCCAATTTTTTTTCTAGACGCGAAGAATAGGAAAGTCTAGTAATCAATGCAAGAAGTACACTATTTTTTTCGATAAAAAATGGATAAAACGGTGGATGCACTTCACCAGCAAATCTGAAAAGCCTACGAATCCGAAAATTGCTCATTTTTCGAAAATTACCCGGAAAAGAAGGCACCCTCTTGAAAAAAATGAGCCATTGAAAATTTGAGACGCAATTTTTCACGGAAATCGTTATTTAAAATTTGTCAAGTTACGTACAGAGCTGGACTAAATATTTGTCTTTTCCATTTTCTAGACGCGAATTAAGAACAAGCGCGTATCATAATAAATTCAAGAAGTAATTTTTTCACACAAAAAATACGAAAATAAGTGGATGAACTTTATCTGCAAATGTTTCAAAATCTAAGAATCACTTATTATTTCTCAAAAATTGCCTGAAATTAGGTGCAATGCAGCTGCAGAAAAGGATGAGCCATCAAGTATAAAACGCCCATTTTCAGAGAAACGCTTTCGGAAAATTGTCACACCAAGTATTCATATTGTATTTGTTGGTGAATTATTGTTATCTTTGTTTCGACATGCCAATCAGGCACGTTTCATGATTAAAGTAAGGCATAATTTTTTTCCAAAAATGTTGATCACCAAAAATCGACGCACTAATACACAGTAAAATAATTTATTGAACGCCTTCGAATCTATAGATCGCTTATCACGCAAAAATTGACCATGTAATCATAGCACATGTCTAGAATATTTGTCTGTGATGTCTCATCGAAAATATATGACACAGTTTTCTACGGGAAGCAATAAAGAAACGCCAAGTCAGGTTTTCGCAATAAACTTTTCCACAAAAAAAAACCGGATGAAAAAATGGATGCTTTTACAGAAAAATCCAAGAAACCTTCGAATCCAAAAATTAATGTGTTGCACAAAAATTGGTCAAAATGGATGCAAATTTCCAGAAAAAAAAACAATACGCCGTCGAATACAGGACGTACTTTTTGAATCGTATTCACAACACCGTAAAGTCAAGTATATGCAGGCAATTTTTTATTTTATTTTGAATGTATGAAGAAAAGGTACGTCTCATGATCGACATAAAGCGTAATGTTTTCAGCTAGGAATAATGAAATTGGGTGTGAAAAATTTTTTCAAGATGGAAGGCAGGGAAAGATGCTGGAAAGCCTTTGCTGGAATGATATATGTGATCATACCTGAAAATTTCTCTGCTTGAAATAATTCGCAAAGAAGTTTGAAGATTTGGACTGCTGTATAATACGACGAACCTCGAATGCATATTGAAACCAGCATTTTTTACATAAAATTTGAAGAGAAGAGTACGTGTGATGCATCTGGAATGAATACGAATTGTCGCTGGTCTATCAGATAATATTAGGATATTCATTGTTTTTGTTTATAAAACTTGGCACACAAAATTTGGAACAAATGTTGATTCTTCGGATGTCAAATATATGAGTACTCGTACATACAGCAAAAGGTCACTCACGACACACGTTAATGAGCTCCTAATTTAAACGAATCCCCTTTTCCCCCCCTGGTCGATATCAAGTTGGAATTTTTCTTGATCAATCTAATTTTGTGTTCAGTGCATGGGCTATGCTCATGTTAAAAAAACTTCAAAACGTACGCTAGGTTCAAAAATTAGGCATTCAAAAAGCATTCAAAAAGTGGATTCCTAACCTTTTAAACACACCGAGGCTCTACTGATTCGCTTCACGGCTTCTTGGTCCTGCTTTGAAATGTAAAAATGGAGGAATAAAATTATAATTTATAGTCCAAAAAATAAGTCGAAAGCTCGGCATGCAAACTAGCTCTGTTAAAAAAAAGCAATTCAATCGATTTTGGGGACGCTATGTTTACTCAATGTGAGAATGAAGTCGCTTTCTAAGTTTCTATGGTTTCTATGGTAGTAATTAGTGTAACCTTTTCAAAATTGCGCAAGAATTTTCGAAGTTCTTACGAAATCATTCATATAAGCCGGAGATCAAACTGCTTATATAAATGGAAAAGCAGTTGTCTCAAAATGCCATCCGTCGAATTATGGCAATAAAAAACAGGAATTTTCTAGCAATTTATCTGTCATATGGAAATTTTGAAATGTTCCAAATGCATTTTGATTGTATACAGCAGTGTAATTGAAAATTTGTTTATTGCATGTGCTGGATATTTTGATCCTAATGGAAAAATTTGGGACCCAGTTAACCAGAAAAATTTCAAGGATTTGAAATTAATTGAATTTACTTTCAAATAGAGTCAAAATTAATATTCTTACGTGGTTTTTATTCTGAAAATGTGACAGTTTCGCAGTCGCGAAAATCACTCTCAAGGATATAGGCTTTCATCCAAATTTTAAAAACTGCAAATAAAAATCCAAGTAGTGCGTTTCTTGACTCAAGTGCACTTCATGGTACTCAAATAAAAAAGGTGTACTGTGCAGGCGAATCAAATCTTTGACCTGACGCTCAGCAGTTGTCTCTCTGGCGCTCACTTGACCCCAAAAAGTGTCACTTCCATTAATAAAATTAAAATTTAAAAGATAGCTATAAAAAAGATATATCTTTGCTGCCTACAACAGAGCAGTTTCTCACCGACAGGCCCGTCTTCCTCTGGATACGAAGAAGACGGATTGAAACCGTGGATGACCTCTCGGATGCAGGCACAGGTGCAAATGTCGAAGGCGCACGCCCCGCAGTACCACAACCCGCGCAGAACGCAATTTCGACACGACAGAAATTGCCAGACAGTCGCCTTGAACGCTGTGCGGAATCGCTTTGACATCACATTGTACAGCACCGGGTTCAGCGTGGCATTGAAGAAGTACAAGACTCCTGTTCGCAAAAAATAAAAATAAAAAATGACGTGAAAGCTTAATGGGGTTTTTTTTTCTTCGTGTGCTGGCCAATCGGCAAACAATTCCGAAATAGATCTTTTTGAGATGCAGGCATGACAAAGACGGATCCCGAGGCATTTTCCGCTGAGTGCCACGATGGTTCAACTGAAGTATGGTTCACTGTTGGAAGGAAGAAGTACTGTACCTGATCTGGGATAAGATAGGATTTCACGGTCGCTACATTAAATATTCTCACGTATGTAAGAAATACACGTGTATTTTTAAACGTAGATGATGGTCCTTTGACGGAGCTGATTCAACTTCGCCGAAAATATTTATAATTCTTTCCATTGAAGTCTTGTTCTATGGCCAGGAAATTTAAATGAATGTATTCGGATATAATACTCGAGTTTAAGGTTCTGGATCTCTTCAAAAGAATATGATATCCGCCATGGAAAGATTTCTTATTTTAGACAAATTTTATTGAATGGCAGGTCTTTGGCGGTGAACTCATTAATCATTGATCCAATGTTCCCCAATAACCCGGGGTTCGCGGACAGGCGCCAATCCGTAGAAGTTTTTTGCCAGTCCGCCAAAAATTTTCTTCAGCATAATACATGTGATCAAAAGAAACAATGGAATCTGCTATATCTTCATGTGAAATTTCGGAAAGACAATGGCATTGGAAATCATGTGATGGAAAATAAAAGTTGGCTTTTGTCCTAATAACGCTTCAGACAAATTTTCACCTCCTGAAATAAATTATTTCAATTTTTTCATTCTATGAGAAACTTTTCTTCAAGCCCTTCTTTCTAATTTTTTGAATACATTCCACACTATAGCTGCGTGATTGGTTCTTAAGTTAATTTTTGCAAAAAAGCAGACATTTTTAAATACCTCCCATAAAGTCTTTGAAACAAAACTTTTTTGAGTCTGCAAAAATTTTATGGAACTTAGCTGGTTTACGGGCCTAAAGATATTGGGTAACACTGCCCTAATCGACATTTTTGGGCAATCATCGCATCCAGCTTCACTGGCCAGAAAATGATACCTCAACTATTTTCTCAGTTTTCAGATGAAATGCTGCATTTATTCAATAGCATTGCATTGAGCTGTCTAAAATCATGAAATATGTAGTGGCAAGTAAGCATTTTTCCTCCCATTGATCTGATTGACTTTCAACTTGACATGTTCTCTCTATTCCACCCTGGGTGAATAACCAAAACCTGTTGCTCATCTCAGTCGTCAAACGAGCAATCTTATTCTGTAAAACTTGAACCTCTTTACAGCATCCATTCGAAAAAAAATCAACCAAAGCGGCACAGGCGTAAAAACACGTAGCCTTCGATGTTTTCGACAAATTTGCCTTCTATACTCGTGCATAGTCAATAAATGCAGAAAAACGTATTTAACTTTTTACAATTCAATGGTTTGCTTGCCCTATTTGGAAATGTGGGAGCAATAACAAGAGTGAAAGCGAGCCACTGTTTATTTTATACCTACGAACTTTACTTGCTTTACCTACCGAATGAAAGCTGGGTAAAAACAAAGTCGAAGTTTCTTGAAAATATAACTTCACTCGGTTCTTCCACGGATTTTTCCCAATTCCTTACGGGCTCCGAAGAAAGTCGGAATTTTTCTTTCATTCACCAATAAGCCCAGACTAGAAAGGTAGCAGCTACAGTATTTTGATGAAAATGTCTCACCTGATAAATACGAAACGACTTCGTTGGCGATTCGGAGTTGTTCTGTCCATTCTGCAGATATGGACACGTATACGAACAACAGTCGCTGTGCGTGAAACGGAGCCCAGCAGATGAAGAATGCAATGACGACGGCAACTGCAAATAATTTTGCAATGTGATAATTGTTCGTGACTTCACAGTTTTTGAATCCGAACAACGCATCATCATTGGGAGTAACTTCCAACAAGCATCGTTTCGAAACAGGAAATCGTTCCTTTTCTTCATATTATTTAAGCGGCTTATTTTAGAGAATGTTTGAATGCTTGAATAATTCAAACATCATGTTTTTATTTTATTTTAAATTATCTCAAGAGCGTCTTTCTGTTCCACTGGCAAATCGAACTTCTCCGAAACTTGTCCTGCTAACCGCCAAAAACAAAAAACACCGAATTTTCTTCGCACGCTCCCAAGAAAAAAAATTAATAATGTCTTATTAAATATTGTATTCGACAAGAAATAAAATTTTCCTTCTGAAGGTCAGATGAGGATTCGTTTCCTAGGTAGAGGGTTATTTCAAGAAAATAATCATTCTGACAAAATTTTCATGGAACCTCGCCATATACCTTTTCCCAAAGACCAGACTTGGAACCGAAAAAATAATCAAGACCGAATCCGAAAAGTGAATAAAATTTAAGAATTTAAGGTGGATTTCCATGCAACTTCTCCTGAATGCTGGTGTTCACGATCACCACCGGAATAAACATCAAATATTTTCTGGAAAGTGGTATATTATCGCGTTTCTGTCGAAATGTATAATTTATAAAAAAAAAAAGTTTCAAGGGCCAGAATTGGCATCCTCTACTTTCCTCTTTTTTCACACAAAACAGCGGGTCGGAGTCAGTGACCGAAAAATTCGCAACGAATGAGTAAAAGTTTCGGCCCACGCATTGACATTCGTCGAACACAACGTTCGAAACAAGGGCAGACGTTGATTGAATGACAATTGTTCGTCGGCTGACCATAAAGTTTCAGGTACAATATTTTCTAAGAAAATGTAGAGCTAAATGCGTACTGTATTTACATTCGTTGTCGATCGCAAAATATTACAAGGACACGCATAGGAAAGATAAGATTTCATATTTTATTTTAATCGAGATGTTATGTTATGGCACGGCATCCTTAAATTAGGCCAAAAGTTTTAATCCATTTCTTGTTTGATAAAATTTTGTGCGAAATTTGAAATGAAATACAGTAATTCGTCAGTTTGTTACAAAAAGCTAAGAAGCCATGACACACGAAGTAATTTTTGTTTCTTGAAAGGAGAGAATTAATGATGCGCTTTTTTTCATATATGAAATAAAAATTCATTATACAACTGTATACTCGAAAAGACGGAACTGAATAAAAGTCTTGAATATTCGCCAAAACTTTTCAGGTAAATTCCGCATCCCAATTTGCAATAAGGCGCACTAAACGCGATTCTATGCATCAGTGAGTCTAATGTAAAATGAAATAAGAAGCTCATTGATACTTTTATTATATGAAATGGGAAACCTTTATAGGCATTGCGAAATAAATTGATGTTTGTTGCGCGGGAAAAAGTAATTACTGAAACCCAGCATCAGGTTCCGCATGAGAAAACGAACCTCAAGGGCGTCACACGAGACCCAAGGAATTTTGCAGAACAATACCCAATCCGAGGGTTTCTCCGGAAGCAAAGCTTGATACCTGACCCAGGAAAATGCCGCAGGCCTTCCGGAATCATCAAGGTCGATCAATTTTTCTAGATTTTCATCATCAAAGAGGTTCAGCAGAAGCCCAATAAGGAGCAGAACCCATTCGATCAATGGAATCTGCGCATTGCTACAGTTGATTTTGTCAAGTCAACCATCGAAATAACGAGGTTCTGTGATTTTATTGGAAAAAATCTGTAATATTTTTCAATGAGTGTCACAATATTGGCATAATTAAAAAACTGAATCAAACGTTATCATTTAAAATGTTTTACCCTGACTTGCTTGCAAACGATTTTCGGGATCTACCCTCTAAATTCAACTAAATAAATTCAATTAAATGTCCAACAAAAAAAAAGAACCTGTGCCCAGAAAATGTTGGTCAGCTCACGTTTTGAAATTCAAAGTTCTTTTTATAGATTACTCAAGAAGTACTTGAGTATTCTCACTTCCAAAATGACTTCGAATCTCTATTATAGAAACCCCATGCGCTCGAAAATTGTTTAGAGACTTCATAATATCGAGGAAAAAGCTCAGATAAATTTTTCTCTATGCTTTTCAAGTAGGAGCTTCACACTTGACCTGCTAAAATTAGTCCTTGAAATGAAATTTAATATTGTACTGTATATAGTCCCTGAAGAGCGTAAACGGCTCGTCGAGTGAAGACGATTTACCCAGAAAAACGGGTTGAAAAATTGCATTTCTTTATTTAATGTGACCTTTTTTCAATTAGCCCTTGAAAAAAAATTGTTCCTAAAATATACAAATGAATTGTCGAGAAGACCCGTGAAGACGATTGACCCAGAAAAACGGGACGAGAATAAGTCACCAATTATCCATTTTCCTTTCCAACAGAAGATTCCCGAAGTTCCTTCCGGAGTTTAAAATTTTCAAAAACGTTTCCTAAACCCACATTCACCCAACCAGAGTAACTGCCCCAAGAACCTCGGTTCAATTCCTGCCCCGATTTTTCAAAATTTCACTTTTCAACAGATGATTAACGAGGCTCCAGATTTAAAAATGTTTCAAAAAGTAATCCTAAAACTCGCACATCCAAACAGGAACTGCTCCAAGAAGCTCGGTTTAAATCATGCCCCGGATTTTCGCGATTTCACATTTAAATAAATGTTTACCGAAGTTCATTCCGAATTTTAGAATGTAAAAAAATTAGGCTAAACCACGCACATTCTACCGGGAACTGTAGAACCAAGAACATTGGTTCAATTCAGCCTCGATTTTTTTTTTATTTCCCTTTTCAACAGGTGATTCCCAGAGTTCATTCCAGATTTTGACATTTTCAAAAATTATCCTACACCACGCACATTCTACCAGGAACTGCCCCAAGAACCTTGGTTCAATTCTGCCCCGATTTTTTTTTAAATTTCACTTTTCAACAAATGATTTTCAGAGTTCATTCCAAATTTTGAAAATGTGAAAAATGCATCCTAAACCTCACACATCCAAACCAGGAACTACCCAACCACGAAGCTGGGTTCAATTCCACGATACCCCGTCTGGGATTGTCCTCCTGGGTGTCAGTCAGCCAGCCACAGCAGGTTTCCCATATACTGTACTGTATAAGGCGAGATATGAAACCCCAAGTCGGCGTTATTGCTCCTTTTCTCTTGGATCGCGTCATTCGTACACAGAAAGACATTCTGCTTCGAAACCTGGCCTGAAACGACGTGCCATACCTCTTGGCTTGGGGGTGAGATGAGGTCCGGAAAAGCTGACCGGAATTTTCGACAAAGACGATACTCTCGAGTGCATCCCAGGAATGGATGGAACAGCATTCACCCCGACCTTCCTCAAGTCTGTGGAGTCTATCCCACCATTCCAGGGTTCTTCAAACGGCTGGCTTTGACCCGATGAGGTTCCATTTAAAATTCTTGTTTGTCCAAGTCGAAGACTGGTTCGCAATGTTTGAAATTATCAAGAAAATGTGGCGCACGATTCGAGGGGAATACAGGATTTTGAGTTATATAATTAGTTTTTTAGTCTCGCGCTTTTCTCTTTGATGTTCAGTTCAATTAATATAAAATTACTGTACATAAAAAAATTTAAGAACTGGTTTTTTCCCCGAATATCCTTGCGCTGAGATAGTGGTTCCCCATACAGAAATGCTGCAGGAAAAAAAAAGCTGAAATTTCTTCTCATCAACGCGAGGAAATGTTTAGCTTATAAATTTGCAAAAATTCACGCGTGGCTGAATATTAAAAAAAATCGGTAAAAGCTACTAAACGAGATTTAAAAACTATATTTCAGTCACGAAAATTTTTTGAAGCTTTCAGATTTCGCGTAAGACATGTTAATTGTAAAAGTTATCCTAAAATGTTGAAAAAAGTTCGCGCGTTTCTGACTTGGAAGATTTTACGAGGAATTTTTTTTTCACTCAAACTGTTATCAATGAACAACTAATTATGGTCTATTTGAAGGTTGGTCTTAATACTGTGCTCTATTTTTTACGGTCAGTCTCTTGCGGTACTTTAAAATTGATTTCGAAGCAAAGACAATAATTTAAAATAATCGTTTGTAAATTTACTGTAATTATTTATCCGAAAGAAGCGCAACTAAAATTTGCTAGTTTTCCAATCGTTTTTTATAGAAAAAATCCGTGAAAATGTTCTGAAAAGCAGGATTGAAAACGCGTTGAATTTTTTTACAGCGTTTCTTTGTCTTTCAAATGAATTGCTGTATTTTGAGTTTTTGACCCAACGGGTTTCATTTGCAGTACAGTATCTACATCCCCAATAATAAACTACACATCGGCATGCCGATGGATACGTGCTCTCCAATGAATGACGAATTCAACCTCTTTCCATTAATACGCTTTCATTTAAAAAGTTTGAAGGGGAGATGATTAAACTGTTCAATTCTCCACAAAGGTTGTTGAGTTCGAAGGGTGATCAAAAAAACGTTTCACAAAAAAAAAAAGCGCACGACAAAATCCCGAACATGTAAACTTTTAATGATGAGCTTGGAGCCCACTGAAAACTAAATTGACAGGCCACACTTCCGCTGCGATGGAATAATAAGGTACATTTCAACTCTGTCTAGTTGAACGTGAGAAAAAGTTTTTCATCCTCGATTTTTTTTAAATGATTGGTATTTTTTTAACGGGAAAATAATGCAATTAAGTGTTAGAGGTTCGCGACAGAGGCTCACTTCTGAGAAGAGGCTTTTTAATTTTCAATTCAAATCAGATCTACTGTAATACAAAAATTGAAGCTATGTGTTACTGTTGGAAATTCTAGACTAACCTTGAAATTTTAAAGCATAATTTCCCTCAATTTTAAATTGTGAAGTTATTCGTCTGTCCACGTACAATCACCCAATTTTCTCTTGGAAAGGTTCACTCAAAGAAAGGGTATTTTCGTTTTCATAAAGTGGAAGGTTCTCATCCTCCTTCAAGGTCGGTCATAAGGACATAAACTCTTCGGATGCGTTGGACTCCCATCTCGTCCTTAAGCATCGCCATCAAGCCGGCAAAATTGCAAGGAATTCTTTTGCCAAGGTCGCAAGTTCGTTGACCTCTGGACATCGTACAATTTGGGCGTTTCTGAAGTTCGTGGATGCCAACCAAGAGATTGTTTAATCAAAAAGCATGACTGGTCGGTAATCCATCGATAGGAAGTGTTTGAAGTTTGAGTTGAACACATGTCGATATATTCACGAAGAGTGGAAACAAATTGATCCATTGTGTGAGAGTCAAGCACAAGATCATTTATTTTAGGAGTACAGTGAATCAAAATGTATTCATAATATGCCCAGCTTTTGTCCCAAGGTAT